TCAAAAACCAAAAAATCCAGTTCCGAAAAAACCCAAAACTTTAAAATTCAAACCGAAAAAAAAGTCTTAAACTTTAAATCTAATGGCAAAAAAACCCAAACCTAAAAATAAACCAAACTTAAAATCAATTGGAAAAAGTCTAAACTAAAATCAGTTCGAAAATTCAAACTTAAAATCAATTCAAAAAGTCAAAACAAAAATCAACTCAAATAACCAAATTCAAAATCAAACGAAAAAAGTCAAAACAAAAATCAGTTCGAAAAACCAAACTTAAATTCAAACGAAAAAAGTCTAAACTTAAATCAATGCAAAAAACCAAACTTAAAATCAATTGGAAAAAGTCTAAACTAAAATCAGTTCGAAAATTCAAACTTAAAATCAATTCAAAAAGTCAAAACAAAAATCAACTCAAATAACCAAATTCAAAATCAAACGAAAAAAGTCTAAACTAAAATCAGTTCGAAAATTCAAACTTAAAATCAATTGAACTAAGTCGCACAAAAATCAACTCAAAAAACTAAATTCAAAATCAAACGAAAAAAGTCTAAACTAAAATCAGTTCGAAAATTCAAACTTAAAATCAATTGAACTAAGTCGAAACAAAAATCAACTCAAAAAACCAAATTCAAAATCAAACGAAAAAAGTCAAAACAAAAATCAACTCAAATAACCAAACTTAAAATCAATGGGAAAACTCTAAACTAAAATCAGTTCGAAAATTCAAACTTAAAATCAATTGCAAAAAGTCAAAACAAAAATCAACTCAAATAACCAAATTCAAAATCAAACGAAAAAAGTCTAAACTAAAATCAGTTCGAAAATTCAAACTTAAAATCAATTGAAAAAACCAATACAAAAGAGTCAAAGCAAAATCAATGCAAAGCGCATATAAAAAATAAATTCAAAGTCAATGTAAGTATCAATACAAAGAACAAAAGTAGAGAAAAGTTTACGTCAAAGTTACTATTTACAAGATGCAACCAATAAACCAATTCATAATCAACGTTGAGTGATCAATTGCAATATACACAGATGACAAAATTATATCGATTGAAAGTTTGGTAAAACTTACGTTAACTTGTGTACACGCAACGTAAGGTGAAAAGCTGAGGGCCAGTTGAAGATATCTAAGCGTCAAATACCAGATCGAGTTGGATAGTTGGAAAGCAGGAAAGATGAGTTGGTTCGTAAATTGAAGACTGAGGAAAGATGAGTTGGTTCGTAAATTGAAGACTGAGGAAAGATGAGTTGGTTCGTCAATTGAAGACTGAGGAAAGATGAGTTGGTTCGTCAATTGAAGACTGAGGAAAGATGAGCTGGTTCGTCAATTGAAGACTGAGGAAAGATGAGTTGGTTCGTCAATTGAAGACTGAGGAAAGATGAGCTGGTTCGTCAATTGAAGACTGAAGATTGTTGAATAATATCAATGACTGAAGAAGCACAAAGGAAACAAGTAACTTAACTTGATACAAAGTACGATTGAAGATTTAGAGCCACAAATGAAATGAAACCAACTTGATTGAATGGAAGAATTGAATATGAAATTGGTCAGAACTTCATCGGTATTTATACTGAATCGCATGGTCAAATTGTATGCATTTCTGTACTAATTGCATGTGTTTGAAACGTTGTTTCAATTTCAGTTCTGGTATATCATCTTAATCAATTAACTTGTTTACATTTTGATTCATGAATTGAATATTAAAAAAGCAGTTTGAAAGATAGATAACTCTTCCGCATTATCAAGGTCGAACTTAGCTGTTTGTGTAAAAAGTTTTGGGTTTTTCCGGGTTTAAATTTAAAAGATTGTTTTGCTCGAATTGGCCTTGATTTGTTAGTCTTTAATGTATTCCATATTGTCAACAATAATAAGACTAGTAGTGGCTAGATTATATACCAGGGTTAGATGTAGAGGGGTTAGATTGTGTAGAGGGGTTAGACTGTGTAGAGGGGTTAGACTGTGTATATTTACTACTACTTGAATGAAAGATGTTGTAAATTTATTCAACAAGAATTCGAATTGCCACAAACCCTGATCCATTGTTTTTTGCGAAAGATCCATTGACTCAACGATGTATATATTATCGTTATGATGAATATAATTTTGCAATTCATTGAACAATGACTTTATACGTTCAACGATTTTCATATCAACGCGATTCGGACGTCCTAAGGGTACTTCACACTTTTGAACCATCTCAATGTCATCAATATAAGCGTCTATCATAGCTAGAAGTTCATCTCTTGAGAAACTAGTGTCCGAGTTCACAGTCAAGTAATCAGTACTATGAATTCTCAGCAGCTTGTTTCCTTCGCTTAAAATTTGCACGATACGTGAGTAACGCTCAAAAAGTTCACTATTGTCATTTGAATAAATTGATTCCAGAAATAAATTTAAAGATCGTTCAGTATAATTGTAAAACGTTTTTCCATTGTCGAGAATCAAATTTTTTTCGGATAAAGTCTTGACTTGATCAATTCGTCGATTCACCATGTAATTTATTACCATCATCGGTATTTCTTCATGAGAATATAGACTTTTTATAAAGTCCAACTCTCGTAGCGATGCTGAGTATGCCACATTAATCACGGAAACTGATTCAAAATGCAAGACAAAAGGATTTAAAGAAATGAAAGTGAAGAAAAAATGAACAACTTACATAAAAAGATGAGTCCAACCGTAGTTTTCATTGTAATGGCTTTCAAATTAGTCAATGTTAATTGATCAAAAGTAAACTGTTTTAGTAGCAACTTTGAGTAACTTAAATGAATTCATTATATCGCAACTCTTCTTTAAAGCAAGTCTTGTTATTGAATTGAATTAAAAGATATAATTGAGTGATAAACAAAAATGCTTAAAACGCTCAAGTACCAAAGTATTATCATAAGTCAATTACACAGACCATTATCTCATACTAATTGGATACATTCAATGAATCCATTTCAATTCCATCAACCATCATTAAAAAGTTCGAGAGTTATAACTATTAAATATTGATTATCATTATAATTACAAGCTGAGACACGATCATGACTGATCGTAAATTTCTTTTAACCACCCATGCTAACCGTCTTTTCACGGTATTGTCCATGTGTTGGATTGAGTGGTGGACAATATGGTGGACAATACGGTGAAAAGACGGTAAAAAACTGGTGAAAAAAGTCGGTCCTCTCTTTCCTCTTTACTCAAATGACAAAGTTTTACATAAAATCCTGGTCCAACAATCAACCATCAACCTAAATAACAAAAAGTTTTCCCCCCTCTCTCAATGTTATTGAATACGGATTCTACATTTTTTCCCCCAGTCTCTATTTTCATGAATTTCTCAGAGGCCATGAGATTCTGAGGACAGGTTTTCTATTTTTCGTCGTTGTAGTATAATTAGGGCTTTCACGCTGTGTAATTTTTTTTCTTAGAACCCGCTCAGTTCGACCACAATCTTGACGCAAAAATTTGATGCTTTGACTTTATATATTGTACAGATGTATGTATAGATGTATAGATTGTATAGATATAGATTAATAATATTATGCATTACTGTAATTAATACATATTGTATTAGATTTATTGTATCTTATTGTAAATAAAATGCGAAATGGATAAAAAATGACAAATTTTGCAAGAGAAGCCAATGAAATTTGAACATTCGATCAAACTAGAACTTAAAAATTGAACAAAATAAAGTTCATTTCTGCTTGAGCACAAGCAATGTCTTACAAAAAGCTAGAGCTACAAACAATCCTTCCTCCTATTGGAGAATTTGTTTGTTATTTGCAGCTAATTTGCAGCTATCAAATTGATTAACAAATGAATCGCAACTTTAAACGCTCGCTCAGACTACTCCGGCTCCCAGCTTACCTAGTGTTTAATTATAAATTTGGTCAAAAATAGATTTTAACCTTTTAGATTTTTGTAGATCGCAAAAGTTGATAAAATAAGAGTATTGTTCTTTAACACGTTGGGACACTGTTTTTACAATAGAAACGTGGTGTTCAACACAAAGAAAAAAGTTGATAAAAAATTTCTCTTGGTCCACATTGAATGAGTTATTTAAACGAAATTCACATAACAGAGGTACAACAGATCACTTCCATTTTAGTAAGCCTATCGCTTTTTGTGAACGTAAAATGTGCACAATTTTTATTATTTGTAACTTTTTGATTTAAATGATTGTAATCTGTTGACAGTGTTTACTTTTGTTGACTGTTTCACTTTTGGATCAATACTGTGCATCAAATGTCTAAATTAACCATTAATATTGTTTCCCTTCTCCTATTCCTATTGATTGTTACCCACCAATTCAATTGCATCCCATCTCTTTGTATAACCTCAACTCCATGTCACCATTTGACTCGTTCAAGATGCACAAGTTTCAATACAGATGGACAAACCTATGTTTGGTCAATGTTTGGTCGAACCTGTAAATGTTGCTCTTTCGAGGATAAACCTGATGATCAAGACTATGCCAATCAACAGTTAACCAGGAAATCAACATTAAAAATCAAACCAACATTAACACCAATCGTTTCAACCCTGATTGATAACATCGTGAATACAAATGATACTTCATTGTAAATAACTGATGAAACCTAAAAATAGTTTTATTCCCATTCAAATTGTTAAATCATCAATCAACTAACTCATCTTCGTAATATATTTTTACAATTGTTTTTATTGTGATGTTTCTTTATAATTTTAAATCAGATATGATATAAAGGATAAAGACAGAAACGGCCTAAAAAATAGAATTTCATCAAAGTCTCGTACTTGATGTAAAATTTTATGCCAATTCCAAAAATTGATTCCATTTTTCGATATGATGTTTAGTTTTCGAGTTATCAGGTCAAAAATGTTTAAATGTTGAAAATGGCCTGAATAAGTTTTGAGTGACAAAGTATTTTGAACATTTTGTACATAATCGACTGCCCTCTATTCAAAAAATGTATCAGTATATTTCTATCATCGGGGGCGTCTATGACTTTTTTGATACGCTTGATATTTTTTCCGGTTTTCAGCCTTTTGGTCCTCTTAGATGATTTGAGTGACAAAGTATTTTTGAATATTTTATCATAC